TGGCTGTGTGTAACCAAACTAGAAGTGCTCTACAAATCAAGGGACCCAGAATGTGGAATGACCTCCCGAATCATGTCAAAGGCTGTACCCCTCTCAACCAGTTTAAGAGTTAAACCAAGTACTGCCAAATTAACTCCATGTAACCTAACTTACCTCCTAAATGTCAACCCATGTCTTGCTATTTTTTAAACAACGCTGTTCACCAACATGTGCAATTGCTGATTTATGCTATGTTAACCCCCTTTTTGTATTTTTTATTCCTTCTTTCAACACAATTTATACCTAATCCCGATTACTATTAAGTTTTAGTCTCTCTTTTTTTTCCTCCACACCTTGCCCGAAATGCTATGAGTATTAGTGGCTTTAGGTATTGTATGTACTAGCTCTGCCTATAAATCCATCATTATGTTTGTAAATCAACTGTATGTACTTTTCCTGAATAAAATGTATTTATTATTTATTTTTTAATCAGTAAGTATTAAAAGAAGGCACCAAGCTGGGAAGGCTATGTAGCACCATTGTGTGTAACAATAAACCAAATTTTTTTTAACAAATAATGCACCTGTATGGGAAAACAAATCCTGTTAGCTGTAAAAATATTGATGCAGTTATTTAAATGAAAAATATAATGAAAGAAATATTACTGGTTTATTTTTATCCTATCTTATTGTACTGTACAGTATATCCAAGGAAGTGAAAAATTGAGACATAATGCACAATTTAAAGAATGATTAGCAGTTCAAAAGAAATATGACTTGTATTACATATCAACATGAGATCTTAATGATCCATGGTCAACATGATTTAATAAGGATAATACAGTACTGTATTTGTAATACAAACTATAATTTAAAATCTTTATTACTGATTTTTTTTATTAAGAAGATTAGGTATACACAGCAATGTGCTGCTACCCTAGTCTATATGGAATATTACACAGTGTAGATAAAAAACTAGCTATAAATTTATCTAATACTCCCATCTCACAGGATGGTTAGACATACTGTACATGGAATCAATTTAGAAAATACCAGCCTCAATACAAAAAACAAATCAACTCTGACTAAACAACTCTAAGCAATTTTCACAAGAGGTAAGCACTGAATCATGGAAACATTATATTATAATTACTCTTACCATTTTCTACAAAACTCCTCTCAAACAATGTATTTTTAAACATGTTTAGGTATACACAGCAATGTGCTGCTTCCCTATTCTGTATAAAGGACCACACAGTGTAGATCAAAAACCAGCTACAAGCTCACCCAACATCCTCACCTCACAGGATGGCCAGTCATACATGGAATTAGGAGAGAACAAAATACTTAATGCTGATCTATTAGCCTCCACTGGCAAAATCTGGGTGCAGCACAAGAATATCTTCGAATATTCCTGAGTGTATGAAGTAATTACAGAGCTCAAAATACCTCATACCATTTGGTATGAAGTCACTGATAACAGGACAATCACAGATATAGTGTTGGAGAGTATGTTCTCTCAAGTAGGACTGAAAACAGATGTTTTTTTTCCACCAAGAGGACTATAAACCCATGGAACCGCCTACCCGCTGAAGCCGTAAATGCCAAATTCCAGCTAAAAAATATCATTAAGACAATTGGCGGGCCCTTTAACAAGCCGCCGGCTTTCTGTCCTCTTCGAGGTCACTAGATAGTTAGTGGCCCTTGGGTAAATTCAGTAAATATATACAATAATTGTCAGCGCATCTTCCGAGCAACAAGGACAGCTACACAGTATCTCTTAGAATTACGTAGGTAAACAACAAATGTAACATATTTGTTTACTACAATGTCGGTGCTGGCTGTAGAAGTTGAAAAAACATTGTTTTACTTCGAAATATACTAATTTTATAAGAAAATTCGACGTAAATAGGAGGCAGTAGAGCTCCGATAAGCCAGCGCTAAATCTTTAATATGAAGAATGTTGCTGCTCTCTGATTGGCCAAACGAAACACAGTAGTGACCTCTATCGGCACGCAGGTGAACCAACAATTTTCTTCCTAAGTATACCTTATTGAATCGCACCTAAGCATCTTCTTAGGGCGCACTTAGGAACCTTCGTAGCAAACCCACTTACGAAGAAATACACAGAGCTTCCTGGACCTAGATTCAGGAAGCTCTGTGTATTTCTTCGTCCATGTATGACTGGCCATCCTGTGAGGTGAGGATGTTGGGTGAGCTTGTAGCTGGTTTTTTATCTACACTGTGTGGTCCTTTAGACAGAATAGGGAAGCAGCACATTGCTGTGTATACCTAAACATGTTTAAAAATACATTGTTTGAGAGGAGTTTTGTAGAAACTGGTAAGAGTAATTATAATATAATGTTTCCATGATTCAGTGCTTACCTCTTGTGAAAATTGCTTAGAGTTGTTTAGTCAGAGTTGATTTGTTTTTTGTATTGAGGCTGGTATTTTCTAAATTGATTCCATGTACAGTATGTCTAACCATCCTGTGAGATGGGAGTATTAGATAAACTTATAGCTAGTTTTTTATCTACACTGTGTAATATTCCATATAGAATAGGGTAGCAGCACATTGCTATGTATACCTAATCTTCTTAATAAAAAAAATCAGTAATAAAGATTTTAAATTATAGTTTGTATTATTACAAATACAGTACTGTATTATCCTTATTAAATCATGTTGACCATGGATCATTAAGATCTCATGTTGATATGTAATACAAGTCATATTTCTTTTGAACTGCTAATCCATGCTAATCATTCATTAAATAGTGCATTATGTCTCAATTTTTCACTTCCTTGGATATACTGTACAGTACAAAAAGATAGGATAAAAATAAACCAGTAATATTTCTTTCATTATATTTTTCATTTAAATAACTGCATCAATATTTTTACAGCTGACAGGATTTGTTTTCCCATACAGGTGCATTATTTGTAAAAAAAATTTGGTTTATTGTTACACACAATGGTGCTACATAGCCTTCCCAGCTTGGTGCCTTCTTTTAATACTTACTGATTAAAAAATAAATAATAAATACATTTTATTCAGGAAAAGTACATACAGTTGATTTACATAACATAATGTTGGATTTATAGGCAGAGCTAGTACATACAATACCTAAAGCCACTAATACTCATAGCATTTCGGGCAAGGTGTGGGGGGAAAAAAACAGAGACTATAACTTAATAGTAATCGGGATTAGGTATAAATTGTGTTGAAAGAAGGAATAAAAAATACAAAAAGGGGGTTAACATAGCATAAATCAGCAATTGCACATGTTGGTGAACAGCGTTGTTTTAAAAATAGCAAGACATGGGTTGACATTTAGGAGGTAAGTTAGGTTACATGGAGTTAATTAGGCAGTACTTGGTTTAACTCTTAAACTGGTTGAGAGAGGTACAGCCTTTGACATGATTCGGGAGGTCATTCCACATTCTGGGTCCCTTGATTTGTAGAGCACTTCTAGTTTGGTTACACACAGCCAAATTGAGTAACAGGAAGAGGTCTTGGACACAAATTTGTTCCATGCTAAATGTAGAGGAATCAGCTGAGTATTCCTCAAATAAAATAAGTTGCCTCAGCTTATAAGGTAAATAAAATAAGCATTTCTCAAATAAGTAGCTGCCTCACCTCACTGCCTTACTGCTACATAGCCTTCCCGGCATGGTGCCTTCTTTTGATAATTACTTGTTCCACACCCAAATTGTATAACAGGAAGAGGTCTTGGACCCCTACTTCCCTCTCTCTTTTTTAATAATCTATATAGACATAATTATAGCTTTAAGTATTCAATGAATAAAGTTTTTGACATTTTTACCCTTTTCCTTACCTAACATCATTTGTGCAGCATATTTTTATTTTATGTCTCACCCAGATTTAATTTCAAAATAAAACCAAACTAAATAAATTAGAAATGGGTATGTATAGCTAAGGTACACCCTTACTACTAGGTGAACAAGGGCATTTGGTGATAGTAAATGATCCCATCAGGCAGGGCTCATCACCTTCTCTCATATTTCATGTTCACCAGTGTTTATTTACTTAATAACTACTGGTATAATATCTTGCTATTATAAAACTAATTCTACTATCATCAAACACATACTTCAAGTTTCAAGCAGAGAATGCATATATAACTAACACGAAGGACTCCTCTCCACTAGATTCACCAGCTATAATATTTTGGTCATGTTCCAATATCATAAATCGATCCCAGTGTTGTGTAGTAGAGAAAAAATGACTTATATCCAGTTTACGTAAAGCTACGAGTGGTCGAAACCACACTTAAATCCAGGAATGAACTTACGAAGGTTTTTCCACTTAGGGTAGTTAATTGAATACGGACGTAGCCGCCACGAAGGCGCTAAGACGGAAAACGCTCTTAGCTAAGAGGAAAAACCTTCGTAAGTACCTTCCTGAATCCGGCCCCAGGATCTAGGTCGATCTCACAGAAACTTTTTACAATTTTAATTCTGAACACGTTAGAGGATATTAATCAAGACCACTTCTTTAAAAAGTCAAATGTAACACATACAAGGTGCAACAGCTTCAAGGTAAATAACCTACAACGTAGGAAAGAAAACAAGAGATGCTTTTTCACTCATAGGGTTATATACCCATAAACGCCTATATCCACCGAAGCTGTAATTAAATGCCAAAAGCCATTGCTGCAGTTCAAAATCCGGTTACAAAAAGTTCTCATGAAAACTGGAAGGAATTTTGACAAGCCACCGGCTTCCTATCCACGTCAATAATTTACCTAAATTTGGATAAATTTAGGAAATTCAGGCACCAATAAAATGAAGCATAACAAACTTCAAAATTATTTTTACATTATACCATGCATTATTAAAACATTATTTAGTATGATCTTTTTTGAAGCCAAAGTTTGTATTTCTATAACAGAAAATGTTTTTTTTAGTGTGATTGTGGAATGTAAACATTTGCATACATAATCCCTACACTATCTGAGCTTTACTATGATTGGTAGAAGAATACAATTCTTGCTTGTGATTGGTGAACGAGTAATGATCTTGGCTGTGATTGGTGGACCGCGTCTCAACCGGGGGGGAACGCCTTTGCACCAGTAATTTTGACCACGATATTTACAAGTGCTAGGAATCACTATGGCTGAGACCAAGATGTGGTGCATGCATTCAAAAGCTGACAAGGAGAAATATAACGAGGAAGGCGTCTCAACAGTTACCTCTGATGAACAGGTACAATGTTCTGCCTGTACGAAGGGCTGCTGGCTGCCCCTCAAAGGTTATGATGAAGGCTGAGAAACATAGGCTACCTCTCAAACTCTATTATGTATAATGTCATTATTATATATATAATAATTAAATATATATATATGTATTTATACATACATATTTCATTAAATATGACCGCATATTCTGTATTTTTACTATCTTCTGATTTAGGGCTTCTATCCCTTTTAACTATTTTCCTAGCATCAGGGCTTAGCTGAAAGAGGAGTTCTCCAAAACTCATTTTCGTATTTCCAGGTGAAGAAAAAAAATGAATTACTATAGCGCCCTATGTCAGGAGATAGTAAATATAGAATATGCGGTCATATTTAATGAGACATGTTTAAAAGAAAACCTGCTGCCAGTATACACCAACATACATATTTATGTATGTAGGCCATTCCAGACCGACAACTAGAGCGCAAATCTGTAATTTCCTGAAACTGATAGATGCCTACTATATATAATATATAATATATATAATAGTGTATGAATACACTCTGGCTTCCTGTCCCCCGACAGTGAATTATTATTAACACACCTGTTAGGCTTATATCAACATCTCCCCCCCCCCCCCAATAATAATTTACAAATATTTTAATGCTCGATAGTATTTTGGTGATGAATTTAGAATATCATGGAACACTTTTGATGGTTTACAGAAAATGCATTGCCTTTCCTCTACCTAACTAGGCTTAAGCATTTTAGGAATGAGTTGCCATACTTCAACTTGCTCCTAACTTTTCTTTAACTTATCTTAATCGAACATTTAGAAAAAGGACCTTTATGTATGAAGCAAATTGGGAATTGGATATTTTTTAGTGATAAGGTCCTATTGTTCCAGTCATTGGTGAATGGAACTTGACCAATGCCAGAAAATGCGCAACACTAATACTGTAATTCTAAAAATGTTCCCAGTTTTTAATGTGACGAGTCGAGTCGGTCCATTGATGCTGCAGTTACTGTAACAGTAACTTTATCTTGAGATATCAAAATTCTATGAATAAATTGGAGATTGGCCAAAAGAACATTGTTTAAATACAGAAACCCTTGAATTTACTTAGGGGCCACCAGTCCAGTCCACTCTGTGTTTTCCATCTACACAATCATTCAGCATTCTCTGTGTCTAACCCAGGTGTATTTTGTTTTGTAAGGTCAAACAACTCTGTAAGTCTTGCAAAAGTTCATCTTTCAATACATATTTTGCATGAACCAACAGTGATGCTCAATTAAAAATTATAGTGCTTTCATAAAGCTGTATTACAAATTCTCCAGCAGACTGTTGATGTACAAGTAATATGGTATAAAACCTATAATTGTAAATAATAATATTGTTACAAAGTATGCCAATAAAATAGCTAATAATTAGTAACTAACTGAACTATTGACAAAAATCTTGAATTCCTGGTGTACTTTCCAAATGTATGTATGTAATGTTATGCAGTGTATGTATGTAATGCATGTAATATTTTGTTTACCTTGTAATCCAGTGAAAAGTATCTTATGGCCCAGAACGTTTACTGGATTGTGACTCGCACTTTGAAGTCACACTGGTCACTCAATCACACTGCTTTTGGTGATTGAGTAAAGGCACTGGTCTCCAGACATTTGAGAAAATGGACTTAAAACTACTTTAATAAGGTTTATTTCAAACTTATGGTATGAAATAGACACTGTTCTATAAGAATATTGGAATGGATGTGCTACATGTTATTTCCTCATTTTGATGTTTAAATTTTATCTTTACAATTTTCATGGTAATGATTGATAATTTGTGCATGGAAAACAGTATTTAAATACCTTAGTCATTATAAAATTAGTAAATCATTATTGTATTGCCAATGCAAGTTTTCTGGGGGGGAGCCCCTGCCCCTTGTGGCTCCCTGAAGTTATGTCACTAAGATGGCTCCCAACTAGTAGGTTACATCAGCCATGGAGTTCTGTTTGGCTTCCCAGAGCTAGAATCTGGCTCCCTCCTCACAGAGGCACAGACTGGATGACACTGTGCCACCTCACCGGAAAAGCGTGCAGAAAGTTGGCAAACCAATACAGACCACTGCTAGGGTCAATGAGACTGGAGCTTCAAAACTGCCAAATGAACTCCCCAAACAATGTAAATAAATTATCAAATTTTTCAAAACTTGCACACACTCTCAAGCGCGTTAGCACTAACCTCCCCCTGCCAGTGGGGAAGGGGGGCAGAGCTACAGGTCTTCCCCACCATTCCAAGCCCGTTCTGCCGATGATGTAGACACCATCAGTTGTTCACTGTAGGGTTCTCAGGTCGCTAACCCGCCATATCGGTCCTGCTGTTTCTCAGTTAAGTGCCAGCCATCCTTGGACTTTGTCCTGTAGAGGACATTAGCTTGGTATTGTTCTATATTTTAGTTAGATTCGCAAGTGTATTTTCTGTCTGGTTTGTGTTGTGTGGTCTTGGCTTGTGGGGTACTTTGAGCTGCATCTACTCCAGACTATCTTTTGTGTGTGCTCCCTAGCACTGTGAGTCAGCTAGAGGCCTAGGGCCCACACAGAAGTAGCCCTGCAAAAAAATGATATATATATATATATAAATATAAAAAATTCTTATATAGCTTCTGTTCCTCCCTGCCATCTCCCCTTGATTCTAGCTCCTAAACATCCAAGGGTTTTGAGGTTGGGGGCAGGGTTTAGCTCGGGGTGTGACTTGGCCTTCTTCAGGGGGTAGCTTCTTCCGCTTTGGGTGTGGATGCAGTTGATCCACCCAGTCCAGCCTAATTCCCACCTAGTGTCAGGAGATGCTTTTTCTCCTGTTGAAAAAGATAGTTGACTAGACTGGGGCCTAATCTCGCCAAGGTATCAGGGTTTTCTTACTTCCAGCTGGCCCCTTCTTCCGAAACCTCTCCTTTGGACTCCACTTTTCTGTTCCAGGCAGTGGGCATGAACTCTGGCTCAGCCCTGTGCCTTCATTTTTGGCTTCTTGGGCTTGGGGAGTCTGATAAGAGTCTTTGAGTTGCTTAGACCCCAATTTACTTTTTCATCCCTTCTGATGACGGGCTTTTGATTCAGAGGGATGGGGTTTTCTTACCACCACCTTGCATAATTTTGATATTTCTCTGGCCACCTAGGATTTGTTTCTGCATACCTTATAGTTCATTAGATACGTCCTTTAGATACTGAACAAGGATTTCCTTCCTGTCGGGGGAAACCCCCTTTAGTGGGTTGGACTGATCTTTTTAAATACTTCCGGTGTGACCCAGATTCTGCCCCTATCGAATTTGGGCCCCTGGTAAACCAAACAGAACTCCGCAGCAATGTCTCTTAGAAGTTTGGGAGCCATCTCGGCAAGATAGCTTCAGGAAGCCACCAGGGCATGTCCAGAAAGACAATTCATTACATTCAATGCTGGTTTTTCAGATGAGGGTGGAACGAAGTGTAGCTGCTATATTTAACTACTATTTAAACACTGAAAATGATGCAAAGGAACCTGTATTGCATCGTGAAAAACATATTATGTATTTAAAGAAAGGACTTAAAAATCTTCCTGAAGGATTTGTGGTAAGTTATGTCTTCAAATCCTAATTATTTTTGTGTATTATAACTAGATTGTATTACTGTATAATCAAATTTTGTATACTGTCACCATTTACAGCTGGTGACATTTTTGCTGCAAAAACTACTCAGTAAATTTGTTGCAGTATTTTATGTTGGTAAGAACAGTCAGTTAACAGAGAGCAAAGATATGTTTGAAAAGCATTAATGATATACCACATACTGCACTTTCCTTACAGACGTTGGATGCAAGTCGTCCGTGGTTAGTGTATTGGGCTGTACATGCTTTAGAACTTCTAGATGTGAGTCTGACAGATGATGAAGCTACTGGCATTATAGACTTCTTGAAGCATTGCCAGAACCCAACAGGTGGCTTTGGAGGTGGCCCAGGCCAGTATTCTCACTTAGCACCAACATATGCTGCTGTTAATGCTCTTGTCATTATTGGCACACAGGAAGCTTATGATGCAATTAATAGGTAACATTCTAACTTATTTGCTACTAAAAGAAAATTCCACATAAAATTAGAAGTTACATGAGATAATTTAGATCTGAAAAAATGAGAGAACTCTCTGTTGATGTGAATTAAATGCTTTATGGTTTGTTAGTTGTGTGTGTTTAATTTTTTTGCTTAAACTTCATAGTATATGGCTAAAACAGAAAGTGAGGTAAGAAGTTGTGTGTCCGGCTTAGTACATTTGATGATAACCTTCCATTTCCTCTTTTCCCCCCCTCCTTGAGGAAGGAATGAAAGTGGGAGTTAGACTTCCACAGTGTGTTCCTTCTATTTATAACCTGACAGGAGGCATTTAGAAAAGATCATAACTGCATTAGAGATAAAAAGATCAATCTGACAATGACTGCAGTAGCACTGTGTGTGGTGGAATGATATGTTGTCTATGGGTGCAAGAGAGTGACCAGTTTAGAAAGTGGTATTTCATCTACAGAAAGTCTTGTCAAATAGTCAACTAATTTATTCCTCTCAAAATGATTAAATATTTACCATTCATCCTTTCTTATTCATTCAAATTTACAGAGAAAAGCTTCAAGAATTTTTATGGAAAATGCATACTGATGAAGGAGCATTTCGTATGCATGAAGGTGGAGAAGTGGACATTCGTGGAGCTTACTGTGCTGTGTCCGTTGCTCGACTTACTAATATATATACAGACCAACTTTTTTCTGAGACTGCTCACTGGATAATGCGGTAAGAACTTTTCAAGTGTAGATTTTACATCTCACTTTGATGTTAGTCATTTAAGACATACATACATATGCAGTATTTTCACAAACCCATTTTTCATTTTCATGGGGTGGAGATGCCATTTAAAAAATTATATTCACATATATGACTTCCAGTTTGTGCATGTTTCAATTTCCTCCTTACTGGATGTTTGTAGTATGTGTATCCTCATCACTTTAATGTTCTGTAACTCAGTTTTATAGATTTTATTAGTCATATTTTTCATTACCATCTTTAGATGTTGAAATTTTTAAAGAAGTATTTATCTGTGCCATATAATTTTTTTTCTTATTGAATAAGCCTTCCTATCTATCTATTATGCACAAAGAAAAATTGCAGATGGCAAATCTAATGAAAATGCTGATAACCAAAGGGAATGTTGAAGCTCATTTGTAATTGTTTTTTTTTTTTTTTTTTTTTTTTTTTTTTTTTTTTTTTTTTTTTTTTTTTTTTTTTTTTTTTTTTTTTTTTGAGATATATACAAGAGTTGTTACATTCTTGTACAGCCACTAGTACGCGTAGCGTTTCGGGCAAGTCCTTAATCCTATGGTCCCTGGAATACGATCCCCTGCCGCGAAGAATCGTTTTTTCATCCAAGTACACATTTTACTGTTGCGTTAAACAGAGGCTACAGTTAAGGAATTGCGCCCAGTAAATCCTCCCCGGCCAGGATACGAACCCATGACATAGCGCTCGCGGAACGCCAGGCGAGTGTCTTACCACTACACCACGGAGACTGCTAATTACTGATTACCATGTTCTCGAAAAGGTTTTAATGGCTATTGATTTTTCTGGGGCCATTTAAAGACTATTAATACAGTAGAAATATTCTCAATGGTGAACAACAAATAAATATGGTTTCATTCATAAATAAGCATCATTTTAATAAATCACCATTTAAAAAAATAACAACATGAGCATCACATTCCAGTGATGCTCATGTGTTTGGGATGCACATGGGTGCAAAACACTTGATATTGTAGCCAGAATTTATGACTTTGATTTAAGAGTTTTAAATATTGTACCATAGGTCTGAGGCTGGAAGCCATGCTGATAAAGTGTTAGTGTGCAACTAATCAAGTTTTCACAATAGGAAGATATTGTGATGCTTAACAAAGATACCTACCCTCACAGTTGATATTATCACCATCAGCTGTTATTTAATGACCTTATTGTCACAAACATTTTGTTTTGTATTTAACATATTGACAACATTTCTAGCCAAGTTTAAAGTCCCTGAGATACATTGTTCCACTTGGAGTGGTCAGTAGAGTTTTAACAAGTGTGGGGTTTGAGCTCTATATTATTTTCTATAATAATAACCATTGCATTATTCTCCTCTAAATATTAAATTACTGAAAATTTAAAATTAATCATTGTTGATCTGTGTTCTCGTCTGCTTTAAATAGCATAAGTCTACAGATGTAATAACTGAAATAATCACTTTGAAGAGGGGAACACTGGGGTAAATTAATAAATTGAGGGGAAATAAGGGATTATTGAAGATAACTGGGATTGTTTAGATAATTACTGGTGAAACAGCAGAGAATACTGGGGGTAACAGTACACCTGAATAATTGGGAATAACTGGGGATAAACTACTGTAAACAAGGGTTCTTCTGAATTTATTTACTTAAAACTCTACCCAAATACAATTCTCTTTGTAAAAATATAAATATAGTACTCCTTTGGAGAGTTAGTGACATCTTCACTTCTTGTAGGGGGCGGCATTTGAGCCTCAGTTGTCTAAGTGCCTAGGCATTGTTCCTTTACTCCATCCTATCTCTGCTCCTTGTCTACATATCTCTATCAAGCGCTATATAGTTATACAGGGTGCTATTTCCTGATAATTATCTTATATTGTTCATCATGTAAACTAAAAAGGGTTCGTCTCACTCATACTATGATAGTGACTAATGTCTGAATTTAGTTGACTTATAAAGCATCCCCTTGCACTAAGAGTACATAACTAGTAGTTTATTTTTTATATATGTGTTTTAGATAATTGTAAGTATTCTCATCACTTGTCATTTGAGAAGTAATTGGTGTCAATAGGGTGCAGAAAATATTCCACTATGAACAAAATGTGCAAACAAATTCAATCAAATTGCTGTACTCATCTTAATATTTCTTGCATTGAATAAAATTTCCAGCCTATGTTACTATTCCATAACTAATTTAAACTATTGACAGTATAAATATCTTTACTTATTTTTCTTGGTGTATTAGGTGTCAGTCATACGAGGGAGGATTTAGTGGGACCCCAGGCATGGAGGCTCACGGAGGCTACACTTTCTGTGGTTTGGCTGCCCTTACCCTTCTCCATGCACACGACCTCTGCGACACACCAGCACTCTTGGTCAGTTGATACTGCTTTCATTTGAGTTTTCTAATATTTCACCTCTTTATTATGTATGTTTTTCTGGTTAATTCATCCTCTTAAAATTTACAGAACCTATACACAGAGAAATCACATTAATATGATGTATCACTGAGAAAATATGCCAGTGGAAGGCATTTAAGTTGTAAGTCACATTGGTCATGCCATTCACCTTGTGCATGATGTGCAGGTGAATGGTAAAGGTTCACATAAAAAATATTTCTGGGAGGAGCCCCTTCGGCTCCCTGGAGCTTACTAGACTGATATGTTAATGTCAGACTTTGGCATCAGTCATGTGTATGGAGTTCTGTGGGCCTACTGGTGACCACGAGCCAGAACCTGGCCCCCCCTCAGAGAGGCATAGGGAGCAATGGCCTATAGAAGCCCCTGTGTGGTTGGAAGCATTCTATGTCTGCCATTGACCGGGTCAGGCACCCAGAAAGGTAAGCATCCCAAAACAAACCCCTATTCTGATGAAAATATTGCTACCAAAGGCCGAACAAGTGGATAGAATGCCCCTAAAAGAAACGAGCATTTGAGCCTCAGTTGTCTAAGTGCTTAGGCATTGTTCCTTCACTCCATCCTATCTCTGCTCCTTGTCTACGAGGAGCATGATGTCACACGTTGCTGCGCCGCTGTCTGCGCAGCTCCCCCCTCCCCGGGAGGGGGAAGGAGGAGTCCCAGACCACTCGCGCCGGCTATCCACCCGTCGGTTCTAAGGCTGATGCTAGAGGCTACGGTTGTGTGCTCTGGCTCCAGTGATATTTTCAGCACTGTGCTTTGTGTGTGTGGTAGCTGTCTTCCAGGGGTGCGAGAATCAGGAGTTATTCTCCAGTACTCGAGCTGCATGCACCTAGGGTTCCCTTCCCTAGGTGCCCTGTAAGTACTGCCCTTGGAGCTTAGGGTTATCTTCCACATGTTTCTTAGGTCTTGCCTCTGCTGGGCTATTTTACTGTTCGTTTTTTTGGCCTCCCTTTGGGTCCTTGTGTGTTTTGTCTCCCTTTGTTTGCCTTAGGCTAGGAGGCAGTTTGCACTGGTACGGGGCGCAGGGTGCTGCGTAGCTTGTTTTCACCGATATAGTGGCCGGCTCTGTTCCTCTAGGGTACGCTGTCCTCTTGCAGGGTTTTGTTTTTGTTTTTGCCTTGTGGGGGGATCTGCCCTGCTTATTGCCCGCTTGTGCTTGACCTATTACGGTTCTTCTCTGGTGGTGCCCCCTGCTAGGTTCCCATGAGTGCACACGTCCCTGGGGTTCAGCTTTAGTGTGCTTGGTAGTTTTGGGTGCCAGTTAGCAGTACCCTGCCTGGGGTTACTTGGGCGTGAGTCTCGTTAAGCGCTCAGAGCCCTGGCAAACCCCTAGGGGGCGCGTGGGTCCGATGGATATGACCCCAGGGTTCCCAATCGCTTCATGCGAGTTTGAGGGTTGTTTGGTTCCCTTGTCTCAGGGGGACCCTCACTGTCTTTGCCTCCATCACGCTGCCTGTTGGGTCGGTGACACTTTCGACCCTGAGTCCTGCAAGTTCTGCTGCTTGCTTGTGACTAAATTTACCCAGTTTGGTGATGATCTTATGCAGGGTACAGGCGGTGCAGGTGTTGCATGTGCATTTTAGGTTGTTGCAACGCATTCGGTTGGTTGCTCACCCAGATGCCATGAGGCTGCCCTGTTTTGCTTATAGGGACCCGGACTTGGGGGTGGGGGTCACTTCAACCTTGGTTCAGTCCGCCCCCTCATCCTTCCCCTCCTATGGTACGTTCTGGTCTCCCCCCCTTCCCCCCCTACCCCCCCCCTGCTTCCGGCCCCGAAGCATTTGAGGTTTTCAGAGCCGGGGCAGGGTTTAGATGGTTTTGAGGCTTGTTCAGTCTTGGGGGATGCCCCTTCCGGTGTGGCGACGGAGGCATTCGAGTCTAGTACCCCTGTCGAAGCCACCGGGTCTGACCAGTGGGCCCCCTTCCGCGCCAGCTTTGCTCTTTTGAGGCCGGCGCTTTGGGAGATGACTCGGCCCCGGGTCCTGCGGAGGATCCCAGGGCGGGGGAGGGGCTGACTTGGGGGGGCCTTGGGCCCAGCTAGACCCCGCCTGGGTTTTTCTACCCTCTGAGCGGGGCTTCTTGTTACAAGGAGTGTGGTTCTCTTTTTTTTTTCCCCAGTGTGTATGAGTTGGATTTGGTGTCTGCCCCTCCCCGGGTTCGGTTCCATGTCCCCCCGGGTGTGTCGGTTTCGTCCTTTCGGAGGTTTTTGGCTTCTCGCATCCAATCTTCTGTGGTACCGGCAACCTTGCAGCTTACCTCCTGTGTGACCCGGATTATGCCTCGGTGATGGATCCATCTTCGTTCAGATTTTGGACTTCGTTCCCTTTCGGGGTCCGGTATGAGGTTCCGGAGTCGTCCTGGCTGGCGGACTGTCCTGTCTTTGCTTTGGAGGCTTGGCATTCTTTCTGCCGTACCCGCACGCTTGAGTGGCATGAGGCTGCGACGGTGGTTCAGGTTTTCCTGGGGGCGACCTGGAACACCTCAATGAGTGCTTGTTTGCCCCTGCCCTTCCCCGGGATGTGGGCATGGTGCAGCTCCATGTGCAGGTTCCCTCCCAGGTTTGGACATGGCTGGGTCTTGTGTGGGACTCTCGGACCGCTTCCTTGTCTCTCCCTTCAGAGTCTCCTGCAGCTGCGGTCCTGCTTGCGTCTGTTTCTGGGGGGGCTTCCGGGTCACCTGGAGGTTGCTCGAGGATCTGTGTGGGAGGCTGAACTTCGCGATGATGGTCTACCCGCCGGGTCGGGTTTGGCTTCGTCGGCTGAGAAATACTGCTGGAACAACCATGGACATCTTCAAGAGGAAACTAGATTGTTTCCTCCAAGGAGTGGCCGACCAACTGGACTGTGGTGAATATGTGGGCTGCGGGCCGCTCCAAGCAACAGCCTGGTGGACCAAACTCTCACAAGTCAAGCCTAGCCTCAGGCTGGGCTTGGGAAGTGGAAGAACTTCCAGAACCCCACCAAGCAGATATCAAGCAGGCTGTTTTGGTTCCTTCGGGGACGTCTCTTCTGCCTTTCTCGCGATCGCTGGGTTCAGACCCCGGGGGCCCCGGGGGCATGTACTGGAAAATTTTTCTGTCACAGTTAGCTATACCTAACCTAACATTGTCAACAGCTAACAAAGGCGGGTGAAGCCCTTAGCAAACAAAAATTTGGGAAAACAAATATAGTCAAAACAACTCTGCTAAGATATGACATTGGGAGGGGGGGGGGGTCACTATATGGCCAAATCAATGGGAAGATAACTACACAGAGAGCCACTTGCTCATATCTTAAGGCAACACACACTGATGCCAAGGAGGGACTGTAAGTACTTTTAAGTATATTTGATTGATTTCTGCCTTCTAAAGGTCACTCAAACTGAAGTGTTTTCTGTGTTAATCCTTAGTACTATTATAACTGTGGGGATCACTTTAAAAGTTCATTCACTGTGCTTGTGCCAGAATGTTGCCTTGCCTGACTATTACAGGCTCTACTAAGATGGTGGAAACTTGCCTTATGGATAAACTGGGTGATACTGCTTAAAAAGTGGACTTTTGAAAGTGGACTCTAGAATGTAACCTGGCAATTTTTTCCAGTCAATACCTATAGTAGTTAAGTATGCATCGTACTAGCATGAATTGTAGTAACGATATTGATTATTATTGATGTTTTTTATATCATGGCTACTATTTTTTTTTAAGAGGTGGGCAGTAAACCGTCAAATGCGCTTTGAGGGAGGTTTTCAAGGTCGCACCAATAAACTGGTGGATGGTTGCTACTCTTTTTGGCAAGGAGGATTATTCCCAATTCTGCACACACTTCTTACTCAGGAAGGTAAGACAGTATCTGTTTCATTTAATATTCATGTCATATTCAGTACATCCAAATTACAATGTTCCATACACATGTGGAGTTACTGTATCATATATATTGGCAGGGAGGGCTTCTCTTTAGAAGTTCCCTAAAGTTACAACCTGGAAGTACACAAGCCTTAGGGTTTTGTGACCTCTGAGCACCACAAGCAACTCGTGACTCCAGCCAGCTACTTGGCTCAGTCATGCATCTGGTGTGGTGGTGTCCACAGCTTCTAGTGCCCTGTCCTCTTTTCCTTGGTTTGATTTAACCAAGTTGGTTGGCTACTATTTATAAAAAAAAGATTAAAGAGAACAGTTTAGATTAATTAGAAATAAAACTCCTGTATAGTAGCAATGTACATATCATGTGATCTGTATGAAAGTATTTTTTCTGTGAGGATTCCCTTCGGCTCCTTGGAGATATCGGGCTAATATGTGATATATTAGACTAGGGCAATAGTCAGTGGAGTTCAGCCTACCGGGGACCATGAGCCAGAACCTGACACCCCTCAGAGAGGCACAGGGAGCAATGGCACCTGGAAAGATCCCCCCCTGTGGCTGGGGCTTTCCTAATCTGCTATCGACCAGAGTTAGGCACCCAGAAAGGTAGGCATAATGAAACAGACCCCTACATGTAAGAAAAATACATTAAAAAACCAATCAGAGAGGCAGAACTCCAATTCCCAACAAAACAAGCAAACGTCACATACCGCCACCTGTCTATGCAACCTCCCCGCACCTTCTGCGCCGGTTACCAAGCAAGCAACCCCAGTAAGTTGGCTATTGCTATCTAGGGTGGTTGTCAACTCTGGATGCGAATTTCAAGCAGTGTTTTATCTTAGTGGTGTTAGTGGGGTTCTCTGCATTGTTGAGGCGTGGTGGCCAGGTGTAACCAAATGTACTGGGGCTGCATGTGCTTAGAGTGACCTTCGCCAGTTGCCCTGCAAGTACTATCCCTACGTGCTAGGGTTCTCTTCCCTGGTGTGTTTTGGTCCCCCTTTCCTGTAGGGATTTTTGCTGCTCGGCATTTATCTCGCCCTTGGGGCCAGCTGGGGTTTCATGGCCGTTGTTTGGCCTTGGGTAGGGAGTGGCATTGTTGCTGGTTGGGGCATCAAGGTGTTGCACAGCCAGCTTACATACACAGCAGCCGGTTCCTGTTTCCTCTAGGAACATTGTACTTTTTCGGGGTTTTTCTTTTCTTTTTGTTATTTGCCTGGTGGGGGTCTGTCTTGTGTGGCTATAGGTCCAATTCTATTGTGTTGGTGGACCTCTGCTAGGCCCCATGATTGTACAAGTCACAGGGTGTTTCAGTGTTTTGATCTTCCTCTTGTTAGCTTTGGATCTCAACCGGTTAGCAACACCTTGCCTGGGCTTCCTATAGCAGTCAGCTTATGGGCTCTGGAAAACACTTTCGGGGGCTTGGTGGACCTATGGATGTGTATTCCGAGTTCCAGCTTGCCTCATGCAAGTTTGAAGGTTGCTGTGTGCCCTTGTCTCAGGGTGACACTCACCCCTTATGCCTCCGTCATGCCGCCTGTTGGGTCACCGACACCTTTGACCTGGATTCTTGCGAGACGTGCTCCTTGCTTATTCTCCAATTTACCCATTCTAATTTCCATTTACCCATTCAGACATTCTGGACTTGTCCTGTCTGAACCCTTGGATTCCTTGCCCCTTCTTTCGGATGACCACTCTGTCTCTGGTCCAACTTCCTTTGAAGCTGGGTGCCTGAATGGTGTCCCTGGACCTCTCGAATGCGTATTGGCATATTCCCATTCATCCGGGGGTTCCGAGACTTGTAAGTTTCGTGGTGGGGCATCAGGCTTACCACTTTTGTTGCCTTTCTTTTGGCTTGAATCTGGCACCTCACATATTCATGTGTCTTACCAGAGTTGTGGTGATCTGTTTGCGTCTGCTAGGGGGTTCGGGTTCTGGCCTACCTCGATGCCTGGCTGGTGTGGGCTCCAAGTGGGTTTACTTGTCTGCTCTCCAGGGATGTGGTACTTTCCCAGCTCGCCAAATTCAGGTTCCTGGTGAACTGCAAAAAGAAGTCCCATCTGGTTCCATTCCAGGTTCGGACCTGGCAGGGTCTTGTGTTGGACTCTCGGACAGCTTCCATGTCTCTCCCAACGGAGGCGTTACTGCGGCTGTGGGGGGGGGGGGATCCTGGGTCACTCAGTGGTTGCTCGAGCAGTTGTGCGGGGAGTCTGAACGCCATCATGCTGGTTTACCCAATGGGTCGGATTTGGCTTCGGTGTCTGTTCTGGTTCCTTTGGGAACGACCCATCTGCCTTTCTCGCTATCGCTGGGTTCGGCCTCCATGGGCCTCGAGTCGGTTGCTGCATTGCTGGCTTCCTTTTTGGGTTTTTCGGGGATCAGTGCCTTGGATTCCTGCAGCTATTGGGCATATTAGCCCAATAGTTGCAGGGAGCCTTTGGGACTCGCCCAGAAAATGGCGTTTCATTACATTGAATGCTATTTTATTGTAATTTCTGCAGTATGAACATAGTAGTTATACTGTATTATTAGTTTATTTCCCCAATGTTTTCTATCCAGTACTGTTCTCAATGGAATATACTACATATGTTCCAGATGCAGTAAATATCAGTGCAGAGCACTGGATGTTCCAGCAGGAGGCACTTCAAGAATATTTATTACTTTGCTGCCAGCATCAACGAGGAGGACTGATTGACAAGCCTGGAAAGTATGAATGAATTGTTTATCTCTAACACATATGAAGTGTGATTAATGTGTTCTTAGACTAGATTGGGTTTTCAAAAATCAAGCCCTTCAAAGTGCACCGTATTATCTCATTCCATTACTGCATAGTAAATGAAAAAGTGTAGTTGTTGTACAGTACAAAGCACATTTCAAGGTGAAGAAATCCTATTATACATGAATTTGTTTGATAAGGTCAGCAAATCAAAGCTTTTTAAAAATGCTTCTCTCAAGATGTCTTCCACCAGGGTATCATTATAAAATGTGCTGTGCCTCATTTTTATAACTAGCCTTCTTTCCATCATGCAGCACTGGATGATGAATCAAGAAATGCTAAGCATGCATTCAGGTTCTCCATTTTACTTTAACAGCCCTTTCTGTTAAAAATTTTCTGTCTAAGAACATCTTTGATCGCACTTTATACTCTTCTTGTATTCATATTGCATTTTTGAGCACTCGACATCTCCACCTGTGCATGTCTCCAATAGGTCAGCTATAGAGAGCACACTTACAATGGTGTCACAAACACCAAGATGAGAGTAATGTTTGTTTGATGATGATGTTTCTTCAATATGATTTCATAAAACCATTACAGACAAAATGTTATCTACAAATAAAATCTACTGTACAGTACTTTTATCTCATTGTTTCTTTACATTTGTCAAAAACAAAAACTCCAGGCACATTTGTTGATGTATTAACAATTTAACCACTGAACTGCGCAACGCGCCTGCAGGCGCTTGACGGGGGTTGCGCAACGCGCCTCTGGGATCTTATATTTTTAATGTATGATTCAAAACTCCCGCGGCTACATGGGGTTCACATCAGTTTCCTCAGAGCTCTTGTAAACAGACGCCATTTAAAAAAAAAATCGTGGGCAACATTCCTAGGTGTGAGAGCCTCGGTACTGAGTGAGTAACCAAGGCTGGCGCATGCAGCATGAGCTCACAGCACTGCTGTTCAGCTTGTGACCACAGCATCGCCTAATAATGTCAAAATATATGTATAACTGGTATTATTTAGCCATGATAGTATTACAGAAGAGCCTGAGTGTGATAATGACTGGTTACAATGTTCAAATATCAGTGAATCGATGCTGTTCACAATGTTCACAGCGCTAGCCACAGCACCACAGCATTATTTCGTCCATCTAGGCATCTTCAAACAACTTCATATGTTACTTTAAAAAATAAACTTGTGGTCAATTATTCATTTACAGGATTTAGTGACCAGGATTGTGATAATAGCAAGATTGTGGTGATAATTAGTACTGTGCGTAGTATTGTGGGAGGAGGAAGTTTGGTGAGGGAGGGAGAGAATCCAGATAGCATCATTGTGTGTGGCAGCCACTCTTGTTTTGCTCACCATACTAGCTTAGTGGTTTGCTATGGTGAACACACATGTACATGGGTATATACAATGTGTGTGTATATAGTGTAATACAGTAACAGCAACTGGAGTATGTTGAGAGGAGCCATTTTGGTGAGGGAGGTGGCATCATACTCGTAGCGTCATCTGCTGGCTGCTGTGTGATTTCTCATGTAGTGTATGGTGGCCACTATGCTGTTTGGATACAATACCAGTTTACTTGCATAGTTATGGTGAATAAAACATGTAGATATGTATACATAACATGTGTAAATAGTGTTTATATAGGGAGGGGCAATGTTGGTGAGTAAGGTGTAAGGAATATGCTAGGTATTGGAGGAGTGAGGGAGGGCTGGCTGGGTGTGGCAGCTCATACTCGTTCCGAGTGTGTTTTATGATGAATGTATATAGTGTGTGATAGCGTATAGTATGTAAATATGTTATAAATATACATAAATGAACATGAAACATTGGATATATGAGCAATATATGTGGACACATTTGAGACACACAACACAGTGTCTTGGAACAGTATGGATGTTCTACTGCTATAATGTGTATGTGCTCATTATACATAGGACTGGTAAGGAAAACAAAACAAATGTATTTGGAAATGTACGCAAAAAATTAACAAAAAAATATTTGTGGCAACTCGCGCATGTTGAAGCTGGCGGGTGAGTGGCTTCGGGAGTTTACGTCACGGGCGACCACCAAATCGTGACGTCACATGGCATTTTCCTGACCCCATTGCGGCCAAAGTAATTGCAATTTCGATTTTTTTTTACATATCTGTGATCAGGGAAGGGTAGTTAACATTTTCAAAAACAAAAAGAATTTTTTCCTGAGAATTTATTTCCTGCGTACAGGGAGGGAAGTGGGGGTGCCGTATTTGGAAGACGAGCACCACAGTGGTTAAAGTTCCGACCTTTTAATGCCTGCCTAACGGTAAACAATCTGGCATTTCAGAAGTCGTTTTCAAGGACACCTAAAAAGTTCATACTCTTTTATTATGTTTTACATTGTTTAGGGTTATAACTATAAATTTGGTGTCAGAATTTTTGTAAATGGATTTGCCAGAGAATAACTTATGCATGATGATTCTGGATATCCAAATATTTATGAACATTTTCTCAACATTGCTCATATATTTTTCATTGTAAATTAAAAAAAAAAATATGGAAATGTGTGCACATGATCGGTCTATATTGCTATAGAAAGAAAAAACATAACTCATACTTTTCCAGCAGGTAATTTGCAAATCATGTGGAAATACTTACAAGTCGAGCAGTTATTTAAAAAAAAAAGTTATAAAAAACACACACCACCCTTGAGTGAAATCCGAAGGAAGACACACCTCACAAATATGCAAGAGAAACATGTGAAATGGATCCCCCAAATACGTGAAAATATAATCCCAACACCAAGGCTTTAAAATCAGATTATAAAATCCATGTGTACAAAATGTTAAAAATTAAAATTACATCAGACTCAAACAAGGTCAAAACTCCCATTTTCCACACCAAGGTAGCCTTTGCTTCTACAGTATTTTGAAAAGTCCAACTATTTTGATAATTCTTTCACTCTTGGTATTGTACCTTTTTTTCTCTTGGATTCATATGAATATTTATACAAAGCTAGTGTACATTTTTCATTATACAGAATATATTTTTTTCAGATTTAGAATTTTGGAAATATAAAAATTCATAATAAAGTAGAAATCCAACATTTGCTTTTCTTCATCTTTAGTCAAGTTTGACAGGGTTTTCAGCTTTATTGGTGTCATCTCTAATGATTTCTTGTTCACTGCTGCTGAAGAAACCATTGATCATGCCTGTCCCATCTTCTAAAAATGATTTCTTTAATATGATTTTTACCCTGTCATTTATAATGCAATTTGCATTTATTAGAAGGATAATGTGCTATTTATTCTTTTGTGTTTGACATTTTCATTTAATAATTACTTTCTGGTGTACATTTAAATTTTATTTAATTACAGGGTTCAGAATTCTATTCATGTTATACATTTCAGGGGGCCCGATTTCTATCACACATGTTATACGTTAAGTGGCATGTCTGTAGCGCAACATTTCTCCACTGCTGCAATACATAAAAAGTGTGTTGTGGGTCACCCCTCCAATGAATTGGTAAGTTGTGTGTTAATTTATTATTATTAATATTTATTATTATTTCCTCTCTGGGAGTGCTCCTCTTAAATGTTCCCTGAGCTACCTAGCCTGATAACCCCCACCAGGTCCTTGTGAGTCACGAGCGCCTACCGGAGACCAGGAGCAAAATCTAGTCCACTTGATAAAGGCAAGAGAGTCTGCGAATATGAGATCATACCAGATCAAGAGGAAAAAACATCAGAAAGATAGTGTTTTTCCTCTTGGCTTGGGTTGGTCTTTTATCCCCAGACTTCTTTGTCTCTATTGAGTGGCCCAAATTTTACTTCTGGTCAGGGTATAACAGTGTATCACTTTAAAAATACAGTACTGTTCTCCTTCTTTGAGCATCAGACAGGTGCTTACATCTCTTTATTACTGCATTATTCCTCAGTTCCAGTTAATAGAAGCTGTTCTCCTTATCAACAAAATGTTCTTATTTTTTAAAAAATTGTCTAAAATCAATTTCTGAAAATATTTTGATGAAAGTTTCACGACGCTGAAGTCAGTAAGTTGGAGATTTGTTTGACATTTCTGAGGGGAGCCCCGTCGGCTCCCCGAAGCTATCCAGCCTGATATTGCTAATGTCAGACTTTGGCATCAGTCATGTGTATGGAGTTCTTTAGGCCTACCGGGAACCACGGGCCAGTACCTGGCTCCCTCAGTGAGGTACGAGGAGCAATGGCCTATAGAAACCTCAGTGTAGTTGGAAGCATTCTATTTCTGCCATCGACTGGGTCATGCACCCAGAAAGGTAAGCATCCCAAAACAAACCCCTATTCTGGTGAAGAAATTGCTACTGAGAGCCGAACTAGTAGACAGAACTCCCAAAATAAAAACTAGCTAACAAGCATAACGTCACCACGTCGCCGCACCGCTGTCTGCGCAGCTCCCACTCTCCCCAGGAGGGCGAAAGGGGAGCCCCAGACTCCTTGCACTGGCTACCCAAGACCCCAATTTTGAGGCTGACGTGCTAGGCAGAGGTCGTGTGCTCTGGCTCTAGACTTGGTTTCAGCTCTATGCCTTGTAGCATGGTGACTATCTTATAGGGTGTGTGTGAGCCAGGAGTAATTCTTCAGTACTCGGGCTGCATGCGCCTAGGGTTCCCATCCCTAGGTGCCCGGTAAGTACTGACCTTGGGGCTTAGTGCCATCTTCCACAAGTTCCTTGGATTCTGCCTCTGCTTGGCCATTTACTGCTTGGTTTTCGGCCGTCCTTTGTGTGCTAGGGTGTTCTGATCTCCTTGTTTCCCTTAGCGTAGGAGGCAGTTTGCACTGGTAAGGGGCACAGGGTACTGCACAGCTTGTTTTCACCAATCATAGCGGCCAGCTCTGTTCCGCCTAGGTACACTGTCCTCTTGCAGGGTTTTCTTTTTTCTTATTGTTGCCTGCCTGGTGGGGGGCCAGGTCTGCCTTGGTTGTTGCTCCTCTGTGTACTGAATACTCTTCTCTATTTCGGCGGTACCCCTGACTTGGTCCCCGTGAGTGTACATGTCCCGGGGAGTTCAGTTCTTAGAAAGTTGTTTGGTAGATTTGGGTACCGGTTAGCAGTACCCTGCCTGGGTTTCCCTGAGCGTGAGTTCCGTCTCAATTTAGCAATTTCTTCACCAGAATAGAGGTTTGTTTTGGGATACTTACCTTTCAGGGTGCCTTACCTGGTCGATGGCAGACATAGAATGCTTCCAACCACATTGGGGTTTCTATAGTCCATTGCCCCTCGTGCCTCTCTGAGGGGGGCCAGGTTCTGGCTCATGGTCCCTGGTAGGTCTAAAGAACTCCATACACATAACTGATGCCAAAGTCTGACATTAGCAATATCAGCCTGGATAGTTCTGGGGTGCCTCCGGGTCTCGCCCAGAAAATGGCGTTTCATTACATTCAACGCTGGCTTTTTTAGTTAATGGTAATTGATAACAAAATTAACTGAACAGTGAAAGATTGTGAACTTGTTTAGGTATTTACTTTGCATATTTTGAGATTTAGAAAAATGGTTAATTATGTATTATTTATTTGAATACAATATTATAATATTAGTTTCTCTCTTGGACAGGTGGTGGTGCACCCTTTGTACAATATAGGTGTTGAGTCGGCTGTATCAGCCACACAGCATTTTAATAACTTGCCAGTGCTAAAGATCACTGAATCAAACTCCAATACCACAAATCAAGAATCACAAGTTCAGACGTAAGGGTGAGTCTTCGTGTAGAGGTGTATTACTTAATATATTTTTAACCTTTCTTAGGATACATCTGAATGAAGAAGCCAGAAATAGTGTAAATATTGTGTAAAAAGAAATACGGTTTGTCTAAGATCTTCTGAAATCAAGCAGTGATATTATGAAATTTAACTTGACAAATAAGATATCAGCTTAAATATACATGGAATGAGCAACATTTCTTGTAACAGTTTTATCACCAACATATTACACTGGAGCTTTGTTTAAGAAAAGGTTAGCAGTTTGACACATCAAATATTAATATTTCTGTTGGATTTCGACAGAGTAATGTCAGTTTAATGCAATCCTTAATGGTATTTGGATTTTGTATCTTTATATATACAGGCACACCTCCAAAGTGTGGATTATGTAATTACAAACCAGATCCAGAGTTGCATGAAATTTGGATTTCTGGATAATTAGCCTCTTTGGTCTGTTTGTCACCAAATTTTCCAGATGTTTCTTATAGGAAGTGATACAATAAATCTTTGTGCATATTTAAACATGAAACCATTATTTATATATTGTGCCTATAAATAATAATCTTGCAAACAAATCCAACAGGCTTGTGGTCACTTAACAGTTAATAGCACAGTCTGGTTTTGATAAGAGGCAGAAAAATGCATTTATAGCACTGTCAAGATGACTGTTAAACTTGTGCAGTTGCCCTGAACTGGCCTTGAAGCTCTAGATGCCCCTGGTTAATACCAGTCTCTCAGCTTAAGACTAGCTGTTCACCCCAGACTACAGTGCTTCATAAATCTTTGGTAAGCCACATCATCTAAATCCTCATGGTTAAAAGGTTTCAATGTTTCTGGATTGGCCAAACAGTAGCTCCCTGTAGCTAGCTGCACAAGAGGTACAGTAGTTCCACATCAGCCCTTAATAATCTACCAGAGAACAGTGGGTGTCAGGTTTGGGGAGCCAAAACCTAGCCCCCCACTCACAGAGGCACAGGGAGTAGGGGATTCATAATCAACCTCACTGAAGAAACAAACCCCCTCAGAAGGAAAGGAAGCAAAGCAAAGTAGACAACTGCCAGGTTCGCAAAACATAAAGAGACAATGCAGCAAACAACTCGGCAAACAATCCACCAAGCAGTTAAGTCATACACCCCACAGCAACAGCTGACCACCACCATGGAAGCTCTCTCACCTGATATTTGATCTTGTATGATCATTTCACTAGTCAATTCTTTGGGTCCCAGATTTTCTAGATAAGTGTTAGCAATCCTTTGGAGTCTGTCCTGTGGGGAGCCCATTGGCTTGTACAGTATATTGTTTCATTCTTTAGTATTTGCTTCCCATGCTTGTGTTTACAAGACTCAGTTGTTGTGTGAACTTTGGAAATTGTTTGCTTCTAGCAGCATGTGCCTAGGGCAGGACTTTCCTAGGTACTTGCTGGTGTTGCCCCTGCCCTAATAAGATGCTTTCCTGGTGAGTTCCATTGTTCATTCCTTAGAGGCTGGCCTTCTGTGGAGGGTGCCTCACCCTGAGCAGTGCAAGGGTCTTTGTCTCCTCTGCAAGGCTCTGAGGTCAAGGGAGTTCAGTTGTTGTTTAAGGAGTGCACCAGCATTCACATGCTTGTACATACAGCACACTGCTGACATTCTTCATAACCAAGTTTTTCTTAAGGACTGCATTCAGTGAATTTTCTTTTGGCGTGTGTCGTTTGTGCCTACATGTCCTGCTTGGTCTTTACTTTCATGCTTTAGTAAGGATGTCTTAACGTTCTTGCAGACGGTCTCCCATTTTCGGCCTACTTCTGTGGACTGAACTATTGAAAATGTGTTCTTCTCTTGGCTCTGCCAGGCATTTGGGGGTTCCTGAGATGGACCTCTTTATGTCAGCATGGAACCAGTAGGTTTCTGTCCTGTGTGTCTCAATTTCCTGTTCACAATGCTCTCATGGTTGATGCCTTGCAGCTGGTCTGTTTTGAGGTTAGAGGGAGGGTTCCTTCTCTCTTCCTTTCGGTTCAACTGTTGCTCTGGGGTTTATCCAGACTGGAGATATTCAATGGCCGGGTGATTCTTCTGGCTCCTTAGTGGCTTTCTCAGCTTTAGTTTCCAGCCCTTCTGACTCGGAGTCTGAATCTGGGCATTTTTTACAGCTTTGCCTCTTAACAGATTAATCTGGAGACCTCCTGACTGGTTTGAGGTTCTTTTCTGCTCTTTGAGTGGAGTTTCTGCCTCTGGTCTTTCATTATCTGTGTGGTGCGCAGATCGCTGTGCTTTTCCCCTCTCTCACCTGCACAATTCATCACAGTGGCAATATGAGGTTTCATTGCACTGTTTTTGTCTCTCTATCATTTGTCTTCTGTTTTAGTTTTGTTGTTCCTATGCTTTTTGTCTTTGTTGTGTGTTGATTTTCATACTGTTGCCTCTTATTGTTTGGCATTGGCTGAGCCATTTTTGTTGGCTTTTGGTGACAATACTGCCTCTGTGCTGTTTAGTCAGTTGTCTCATGTGTTTTTCACCTTTTTCACCTTTCACCTTTTTTCTTCTCCTGGGTCATTTTGGTCTCTGGATCGAGTGCTGGTTTTTCTTGTCTCTTTGGTTCTCGGTCACCCCTTCAATCTGTGACTCCTTTTTAGGATCAATATTTGTGTTGTTCCTTGCTTCTGGTTGTGGGGTTGGGGAGCTTCTTGCTCTCCTCCAGAAGTGTGGGTTTTGTTCTTTTGGCCTTATTGTGCAGTTTCTTCATTTGCTGTTGCCTTCTTTTTTAGTTCTAAGACAGTTGGCTTCTGGAGGGTTCTTTGGGTTGTTCACCCGAGGTGCATTGTTTATTGTGTCCAGTTGCAGCAGTTTGCAGTGTAGTACCTTCTAGTCAGTTCTGTCCTCAGATCCATATTGTTCAGTGATTTGCAGCTTTGACTGCTGTATTTTATGATTTGCCTTGAGTCAATATCCAAGCTCGGATGTTTTGAAAGTCAACTGGGGTCCTGGCGGCTCATTATCTAGCCAGTGTGCCTGGTCCCCTTTGAGACCAAAATCTTGGGTAGAGTTTTTCCCTGGGTAGAGTTTCCCTCCCCTTAAGGGGTTTGACCTTTGCTTTCCCCCATCCTTGGTAAGCTCAATTCTCTCTCTCTTCTGTGGAACCACTATTTGGCCCCTTCAGAAAACAATCAATGAATGTAATGAAATGCCTTTTTCTAGGGGAGGAAGGGGGTCTCAGAGGCTCCCTGGACCCTCCCCTCCCACCAAATGCATTGGTTGGTTTCCTGTAGGAACCAAGCTGAGGCATTGTTGACATGGGGAGTTGGCAAGTTCTGTGGTGCTGCCACTTGGAGGTGGTCAACTACTAGAGGGAGTATGATCTAACTACCGGGTGGATTGTTTGTTGCCATATTTGTGTACCATCTATGACACCCTTGCAGTTGTGTGTTTTGTTTCACTTCCTTTCTGAGTGTTTGTTTCTTCGGTGAGGGTGATCACGAGTTCTCTGTTCCCCCGTGCCTCTGTGCAGGGTGCCAGGTTTAGGCTTCTGGTCTGAGGTAGGCTTTTAAAGACTCGCAAGGGCTGATGTGACCTACAGGTGTGGACCTATCCGAATGTGGCTAGCTACTGGGAGCCACCAGAGACCCCACCTTTGCCCGTCAGAAAAATCCCTTTTTTTTTTTTTTTCTTTATATCCAATGCTGGTTTTGTTGCCAGTTTTTTGTACATCACTGCTCTTTTATGCAAAGTATATGATCTGCTTCCTTAGTCTTTAATGTTAAAATCAGCACTAGTACCAATCTGCTATCCACATTTCTATAAATGCATTACTGTATTTTGACTAATTTTTACAAATGCAAAAGCAAGACAAGTAAAAATTAAAAAAAAATATTTGTAAATTACTTTGTGATGATCCAGATTTCATTGCATCCCCACCTGAATCTGGATTTATTAAGAAATCCAAATTTTTGGGGGAAATCTGGTGGGTGGATTTTGTCTGTTGTTTAGAGAGATCTGCTATAGTGAGGTTCGGAGTTTGGCGGGTGCACTGTAATATTAATTTACTTATGTTTATTGAAATTAAATTAAAATAATTTTTACCGAGTATAATAAACCAAATTTAGACAAATCTATAGGCTTCAAGTAGTGTCTGTGATTTCATTGTGATACTTTTGTCAATATTTTGTAACTGTATTGGTTATCAACACACTGATAGAATCATGTAGTAATGCTCTTCCACTATATTATATCTATCTATATCATAATGCCTTATCATGTGTTCAAATAGTGTGGCACTTAGAAAAACTTTGTCAAGAATTGTAGCTACTGGTCAGCTTTGCACCCCCAAATGTTGAAACTTCAACAGCATATTATGAAGAATTTTACACATTGCTTCGTTAAAAATATTTGAAGCAGGTTATCATTTGCTTCTAATAATAAGGCTAATTATTGTGCAATGGTTAAAATTGATTTAAAACTGTATCAGTATTTAATTTATATATTGTATAACGATACAGTATACCTAAACTTTAATGCCATATTTCACCCTTTTTAAGCTGCCATCATACTGACAAATATTATAAGCTAAAAAGTAAATCAATGTATGGGAGTGGGAAGGAAGAAAGGCAAGAAATGTAATTACTTTTATATAGATGGAAGTAAGCTTTGTATTGGATACATAGAGAAGAATTCTTGTGAATTCCCATGTGGTTGAATTTATAATTAAGAATTGCAGTATAAGTGCATCATAATTATGTTGTATATTGTGTAAGTTAAATATTATATTTCCATTAATAGCTTTCAACCTATGGCATAATAATTTATATAAGCATCAAATATTTTCAATTCCCTGTAATTAATTTAACATCTCTAATTAATTAATTATCCATCTTTAATTAATTAATTAGACATCTCAACGTCTAATCATGGTCAGAGTAAACGTCGAGATGTAAGTCTCGTCTTAACCACACACTCAGACCTTGATAAAACACTCAGGAGAGTGCAAAAGACTTGGTGTAAATTCCTTACATAAATTTCACATATACACAAGTATGGGTTTTTATCCTATGTTATTATGTCTGTGAGAAGACATTACCATTACTAATGAGTATTTATCATGTGACTTCAACTTTTTATTTTAATTTTTATTTATTGGATACAAATTAACTCCATTACTTGCATTAGATAACCATTATATTACAGTACCACAGTGAGCACATACTGTTGTGATCTTGTACACAAGTATATTATCAGATAGTGCTATACAACTTTTATTTGCATTAAAAACTATTAACTCTGATGTGGACAATAGCTCAGGTTTGTTTGTACAGTGACTTTGTCATTCAAATATTATAATAAGTTTAGGGCTAAGGCCTAGTACTGGAGATAGTAAAGCATGTATTGATACCTATTGCAAATTTTTCAGTGAATCTTACTTGGGTGGGTATTTTAACATTTCATAATTTTATGAATTTAAATGTTATTTGTTATGTACAAGATTTTATGTAAATTTATATCTGTGTGATGTTAACTTATATTATGATTCTAATTGTTTACATTTTCAAGAGGATAATTTTTCATATTTAAATATAGGCTGATCACATTCTGAAGGAAAATGTGAGCTTTCATTAGGATCCACCATTAATTTTTCCACTTGAGGTCTGTTTTGAAATCCATTATTGTTTACTAATTACTATTAATTTAGTTTGTGCAGAATTGTAGCTAATCAAATTTGCCAACTCCTACCCAGTTTGCATTGCTGTAAATTTCAAACAAGTGAATGACCTTCACTTATTCATGATCTTCATAATGTAAATCAGTGAATTTTCAGAGTGCAAGGTCTTGCATGTGATGGTGGTTTAGTCTTGATTTCATTACTGCTAGGTAAGAACAGCTGTTGAATTGTTGCATAACTTGTGCCAGTTGGTTGGTGTCTTGCACAACAAATGTTAGCTATTCTTATTCATGCACTAGAGGGGTTAACACTGTAAACATTTGTATAAATACTGTACTGTAATTGTTTAAGCTTTTAAAAATCTTGACTAACCAGGCATTAATGTAAATAGTTCATTGCTTTAATACAGTTCTTTGGTAGAATTGTAAGAAAGAGTTTTGATGAATCAAATCTTTGTAAGAAATATTTTCAAGTTTTTTTTTACATGTAGCTTATTTTATAATTATTTAATTAATATCTAAATATTAAATGCCTTGGATGTTTTAGGAACATTTGCTGTAAGTAACATTGCGAGGTCAAAGTTAATAAGATTGAATTGTTGGAAAGGATGACTTGTTGAACTGCGTATGGTGTACTAAACAGTGCTCCTTGTAATGTAAATGATGTATATCAATTTGTATAAAGTAATTGTATACTCAACCTGTACTGGCTTATAGTATGCTTACAAAATGTTTTTTTTTCCCATTTCCGTTATCCTTTGTATATACTGTAGCTTCTTGGCAGCACAGTAGTATAATGTTTCAACCAAAGACCAAGTTCATCTAAATATTTAAAGTTTATTACAAGCAAATAATTAAAACTCCCCATTTTGAGAGCTGTTATGTGTGAATACTTTGTTTCTTGACTTTGGTCTGAAGATTGTTTGATCTCCAGGCAGCCTTGGTTCTGTTCAGTATTGGTGAATATTGAAACAGTGTTACAAGAATAAGCACTTGTATCAAGTTTTAAAACATACAATTGAATTTTAACAGTACAGTATGAGCTTGTTAATTCAGACCTCATTAATTCAGATCTTTGGGTCATTCAGGAAAAATCAAGCCAGAGTTCATGATCAATTAAATTAATTCAGACAAATTTGAATTACTGGGTTTTGCTGTTATGTTATTGAATGACATGTGGCAGCCTTTGTTCATATGCCCCGAGCAGACCCAGCCCGACCTTGTCATTTTGCTCACCCCATGTGTTCTCATATGCAGTCTCACTATTACTGAAAAAATATTTTTCAGTAATAAAGAAAAAACTTTTTTTTTTCTTTAGCCTCAGTTGGACTGATACGTGTTTCATTGCAGCCTGTAAGGATACCTAGCTGCTTTGTCTTGCAATAATGAGACTAGTACAGGTCTTCAAAAATGTCCGATTAAATGCCAGCCTCAGCACTGTCATTCTCCTACCATGTTGTGACTGGGGACACAGAACTTGAAGACTGCTGTGAGATACTCACCTACTGGGGATGGCACTAATACAAGTGACCTCAGTCAGAAAGGACCGCACTGACAACAAACAGGTGCTGTAATGACAGCTTATTACTTTTAGACTGTAGTAAGTGGCACAGAGCTACCGCCTGAGTCCAAATCCTTGGCGCACTATTATCCACTGGGTCGTGGAGCTTCTTTAACTGCTGAGAGCAGTTGTCAGAGTAGCTCTATCATGTCTCACACCAAAGTATTTATAGTGGTGTGTGTGGCTATGAAACTGGCGCGAGTCCAAGTATCCAGAGCAACATATGTGGTCCACTTCAAAACATAAGGAGAGTTAATCAATGGGGACAAGGGTCTTAGGTGTGAATGGAATGGCACTTGTAGTTCAACCAATAACATTTACAGTATTCATAAAACTTAATAATAATAATACAAGGCAACAGTAGCTTAACGTTACTTTAAAGTCCATACTGGCACTCTGTCAACACTATACAATCCGGAATAATTGGACTTCTGGTTCAGACTGCTCGCAGCACCAACATTAATTAAACTGAAACAGTGGGCGACCACTCAGACACAAGTAGCAGTTCGTAATGATTGCGGCAAAACAATATAATAACAGCAACAATTAAAACACAACAGACAGACCTGTCACAGAGACAGTCCTCTGTGCAACACACTGTTAATTTCGTTAAAGGTCATCTCTCAGGACGACAGTCAAAGCAATCAATTACTTTACAACACTATGACAAACACAAGACAATTGATTTAAGCAATTTCAATCAAAACAAGTCTCAACACATTTACGTTAATTATGAACACCAATTACGTTTGTCATTGTCTCCTGGACAGTCAAACCAAAGCATGGTAATTTACATTAATTACACTCTGTCAACACAGACAGTCAAGCAACCAAACAAGACTTAACGAAGTCAAATAAACAAACACCGGGTAGTTAGCAATCAGTGAGTAACTGCACTAGTTTGTCAAACTGACAGTCACTTAACTCACAAAGACTTACATTAATACTTGGCCGATCACTGAGATCGTTTGACGAACACTGATTAGTCAACACGTTGCTAATTACCTCACACTACTAATGACGGTGATTAATTACACTAATTACAATGTCACTGATTTCATTTTATAAACACAAATCAACACAACCACCTAGTCACGTAGACCAACACAGTAAAGTAGCAAATACAGTGCTTAAACACAGTACTGTCACTAATAAAATGACAAATAATAACACACAGAAATAACTGGGCAAAACACACCCTTTTACTTTTTATAACAGCTTGTCTTCTGGAACGAAAGAAATGAATGACATACACGGAAATGGTTAATAACAGTGACAGTATATATATTAAACCACACCAAACAATACACACAAATAATATAAAGACACAAATACTAAATGTGTGACAAAGTGTAAGATTACAAACACACTGGTCAGTATTACAGTTATCACAGAATGGCTGTAACTGCCTTTGTCTATCGTGCTTTTCCCGGTTGTGGATCTTCTTCCCGTTGCGGGATTACGAAGAAACAACAGACCATCAGGCTGACTTAAACTCAGCACAAAGGAGTAATGCGCTTCCGATGTAGAGATACAGAAATTTAATTAATTGAGTTAAATTTAATTAATTGAGTAGTTGAATGGATACCGATCTTGAAAAGATCGGTACCCATTCAACACCCTTTTATGTTGAACTTGCTATGAT